TTCTTTCTCTTTCTCTCTCTCTCTCTCTCTCTCTCTCTCTCTCTCTCTCTCTCTCTCTCTCTCTCTCTCTCTCTCTCTCTCTCTCACACACTTGCTTCTTCTCTCTATCTTTCCCAGCTATTTTTCTAAAAAGGTTTTATTTTCCAGAATATTCTTTATTTCTTTCTATTAAATTTTCCCTCGAAATATATATTTTTTTTTCTAAAGTCCGAAAAAATATAACATGTTTCCTTTTTATTCGTTTATGTTCATCTGATTTCTGTCACGATCTCCATCCTCTTAACTGTCACCATAAAACATTAGTTTATTTCCGTCCTCTGTGTCTTTCCTTTTTAAAATCCATCACCCTCCTTTTTTAGGCCTAAAAAAACAGGCCATTAACATTTCGCTAAGAACAAAATCTTGTTGGTATTGCTACCGTCATTCATTCATTCAGCGCAGATTCATTCATCTATTCATGAATGTTGCCATCAGCTGGGGTCGCTTGTTTTCTTTTTAGGGTTCATTTCCCTTGCTGTGTTTTCTTGAATAACAATGAGCTGATTAGGAGGCACCGTCCTTACCCCTCTCCCTCTCCTCTCCCTCTCCCTCTCCTCTCCTCTCCCTCCCCCTCTCCTCCCCTCCTCCTCTTTCTTATTCCCCCTCTTCTCTCCCTCCGCTTCGTCCATCAGCACAGATAGGCAAAATAATGTGTGGACTGTATATGCATATGTATCTATATTTGTATATATGCATGCATGCATACATACGAAGAAACACTCACATATATGTGTGTGTGTGTACACACACATACACACACATAGCTATCTCTCTCTCTCTCTCTCTCTCTCTCTCTCTCTCTCTCTCTCTCTCTCTCTCTCTCTCTCTCTCTCTCTCTCTCTCTCTCTCTCTCTCTATATATATATATATATATATATATATATATATATATATATATATATATATATATATATATATATATATGCGCACACACACACACACACACAAACATATATATATGTACATATATATATATATATATATATATATATATATATATATATATATATATATATATATATATATATATAAATAATCCATATATCATGACAGAAGCTCATCATTACTAAGACTTATTTCCTGCAAGTCCTGTCATTAACAACACATAAATCATCCAACACACTCTGAGAAAAGGAAAAAATGTTGATAATATCGCCACAAAAATATTCCTCAAATTCGGATTCTTAGAAAACAAAATTATAATTAGAATACGAGGAAACAGATGCCCTAGGGTGGGAGGGGGAGGGAGGGAGGGAGGGAGGAGAGAGAGGGGAGGGAGGAGAGAGAGAGAGAGAGAGAGAGAGAGAGAGAGGGGGGGGAGCGTGTTCGGAAAAGAGAGAGAGAGGGGGGGGAGGAGAGAGAGTTCGGAAGCGAGAGAGAAAGAGAGAGGGAGAGAGAAAGAGAAAGAGAGAGAGAGAGGGGGGGAGAGAGAGATGGGGTTGAGAGAAAGAGAGAGACAGATAGAAAAAAGGAGAGACACAAAAACACACACATGTGCTCACACACGTATACACACACATATCGACACGCACACGCACATACAGTGTGAATATTTGTGTGTGTGTGTGACAGACAGACAGACAAACAGACAAGCAGACAACAAAGGCTGAAATATTAAGAAGAGAGAAAATAACGAAAGATTATAGAGTACATGATAAACCAAGCAAAAGAATGACAGGGAAAAAAAAAACAAGAAAAAATATGAAATAAAACTTCAAAGGAAATAAAAACAGAAACGGAATGGAGGAAATGAGATTTTTTTTGAAGTCATAATAGCAAAGAGAAATTAAGACAAGAAAAATACATTAAAGAATGTGATTAAAAGAAAAAGCATTCAATATCTAAAAGAAAAAAAAAACATTCAAACACAAACAAACAATATACTTAGAACAATATACTTAGAAATCCAAAATATAAAGTATATACGAAAAGAGAAGATAAAAGAAAGAAAATATCCTAAACAACAATAATCCAAACTCAGAGCCTCAGTAATTTCATTCATTTTCAATTTCACGTTTCGAACACGAATCTCAAAAAAAGAGAGACACACAAGAAAAGAAAAAAAAGAAAAATTATAAAAAAAAACAACAACAACAAATTTGCGTGCGTGAAGTCGTGTCTTTCTCTCGTACTTCTTCTTTCAAAAATTTATCATGTCAGGCACCTTTTTGAGCATGACGTCATCGATCTTATCAAATGGCGAGTTATTTCATGCCCAAAAAAAAAGTATATAAAAATGAGAGAGAGAGAGAGAGACAGACAGAAAGAAAGAAAGAGAGAGAGAGATTGATCCTAAGCGATGGAGAGATAGAGTGGTACGGATGACTGATGGAACAGGTAGTGGGGAGCTGCAGACGGTAGGATTGGCATGCTGTGATGTGGTACAGAGGGAGAGAGAGAAAGAGAGGAAAGGGGAGGGAGAGAGAGAGAGAGAGAGGAAAGGGGAGGGAGAGAGAGAGAG